GTGCCACCCCATTCTAGAAACTCTATTGAAAATGCTATCCTATTATAGTCAATCCAGTCGTCAAAATGCGACCCCATCCAGCAGCACATCCCCATTAGCCTCTTATAAGGAAAAGGAAGTACGTCCCTCCCCCCTCCTCCGAGCAATAATTCTTCTCTGGTCACTACAGTTTCCTCGCCTCCCAAGACCACGAAAATTAAAAATGGTCTTCAAATGCCACACAAACCTTATGTAAAAACAATGGGTTAACCCGACAAGCAGCAAGATCTTTTTGAACTTCATTCCCAAATAACATTTCCTGGCTCAGCATTACCTTGTTGTAAGACAGGAAGGTAGGGAAGTCAAACTGTACGGAATTACATTTTCAGAGATAAATAAAATACAGTCAACTCTCTTTAAGACGGACACCTTCGGGACCGGCACTAAGTGTCCTTCTTAGAGAGATGTCCGTCTTATAAAGAGTCAAATAAAGGGAGTAAAGAAAGGCAGGGACCAACTCTAGGTGTCTGTTTTACAGAGGTGTCCGTCTTATAAAGAGTCAAATAAAGGGAGTAAAGAAAGGCAGGGACCAACTCTAAGTGTCCGTTTTACAGAGGTGTCCGTCTTATAGAGGTGTCCGTTAAGAGAGACTGTAGTTACAAAGCCAAGAATCAAACCTGGCCATGTCTCTAAGCACTTCTACCCATGAATGAGCCTTTAATGTATGTGATAAGCAGTGAAGAAAGTCGCGAAAAAAGGCGGAAAAAAAGTCGAGAAAAAAGTCGGGACAAAAGTCCAGAAAAAAGTCGGGAAAAAAACTTAAAGACGAGAAAAAAGTCGAGTGGGGAAAAATCGAGCGCAAAATTTGCATGTCACTTTAAGCTGGGCTCTGTAAGAAAAAGAGTTTTCACTTTTGCTCTTTCTTTCTTTTTGCCGTGAGGTTTTTGTTTATCCTATTGGGTTTTTGATTTTGCCGTGAGTTTGTGTTTATTTTTGTTGTTGTTGATGTTGCCATGAGATATTTTGTTTTTGCTGTAACATTTCGGTTCGTTAACTCCCGATCACAATGACCATTTTTTAACAGAATTTCTCTCTTTACGTACGAGAATTGGCAGAACAATAGCTTAACAGATTGGCCAATCATATAGGCGTTCTGTGGGTCATAACCAGACCACTTGAACTGCGACCAACATCACTTCGTTGGACACGTTCGCTGGTTCACGTGGATCAAATAAAGCTCTATTTTGACCGTTTTAAAACCTTTTCTGAAGTAGTTAAANGCCATGAGATATTTTGTTTTTGCTGTAACATTTCGGTTCGTTAACTCCCGATCACAATGACCATTTTTTAACAGAATTTCTCTCTTTACGTACGAGAATTGGCAGAACAATAGCTTAACAGATTGGCCAATCATATAGGCGTTCTGTGGGTCATAACCAGACCACTTGAACTGCGACCAACATCACTTCGTTGGACACGTTCGCTGGTTCACGTGGATCAAATAAAGCTCTATTTTGACCGTTTTAAAACCTTTTCTGAAGTAGTTAAAAAAACTATTTCTTAAAGCTTCACGTGTTCACAAAATGTCTTCATTGGAGAGCTCTTCTCGCGGTGCTTTAGCTGCAACACCAGATCCAGCGACGTTCTATCGAAGAAAATATTTTTGCGCGAGTCCAGCGGGCGGAGGGAAAGGAAAACGCCATCCAGGCAAAGCTATTCTCGCAGGTAAGAACTGGCTATAAATGACGAGTGATTCCTTTTACAGACTATTGTTCTATATTGATGTCTTAGGAGCTAAATATTTGTCTATTTTTTGCTTTTCTCTTCGGCCTAAATATCGATAAAATATTGTAGCGCGCTATACTACGTGTCGTGGTTTATCAGAGCGGAATTTACTACACTTCGATCGTTAGCGATGCGTAATGTCATCTTAACTTTAAAACTGAAGAGTGAGTTATTTAGATCGGGAACTTATCTTGGATATTAAAAAATGTCACACAATGATTCAGCTTTCTCGTTTGTAATAAAATCCACGTCGTTTACCCGATTGAGTACAAAGGTCAGTTTTGTCAACAATATTGAGGCCGGGCGAGTATGAATCACGTCGATAGAATTCTTGTTTACAAAGCCACACTATTTTCGAGAAGAAATGTTAGATTAGCTATTTAAAGTTTATGAGAACAGGATAAGATTTTAAACTGATCTTTTCACGTGGCGTGATCATGTTTGCGCAATTAGTGTACGAACTCCTCTTGTTCTGCTGAGAAGCCTTCGAACTCTCTCTGCAATCGACAATACTGTAAGATTTCTCGATTGATGTTTGAACTTATTTTTCATCTACTCTTTGAATGAAACTAACATTTTCAAGCTTCACTCCTAAATCTGCTGTCTTCAAGAACTCTAGTTGTCTCATTTTGCATGATGAAATACAATGAATTCCCTCGTGGGAGTATTGGGGGTGTGTCATGTAGGTTTCCCAATATTTTTTTCTCGCGTGACTGACAATGTTTAGAACTCTTTTTAGGAGAAAGAAAGGTAAAGTCTACCCTGAACCCTATTAGTCAGCAATAGTCAGGATATTTGATATCCACACATACAACCAATCAGAATTAACAGTGTTTTCTACGTAAATCATTTTTGTTCCCTTTTATGCCTCATTGACAAAAGGCCAGTCAAGGTCATCAGTTGGTAATATACATACCAAATGGACAGAGACGAAACTGTCTGCATAGAGATAAAAATTGTTATTAATAATTGTCTGCTGCAAGATTTTCTTGTAGTGACTGGGCATTATGAAAATTTTTCTTGGCATTTTTCCCTTTGAGTTGTGAATAAAAGCTTTGTAAAAGCTTGACATACAAAATGTAGTAAAGACAAAAATTCTCATTGTCAAAGAAACTTTGTCTTTTGGTTTTGGCCGCATTGCCAAGTTCGTTTCAGTTCAGTGAACACAACCTTAAATGACCTCTTCCCACGGAAGTGGATGTTGAAAATTACTAAGTTCTACTTTCATTGTATAATTTCTTATAAACTCCTTATAATTATTGTCTGTCAATAGTATTCTTGCTGGTAATGAAGATTTACACACATATTCCATACAATAGGTAAATACAGGAAATGCAAGGTTCCATGCACAGTTTCAGTTCCATTTACACAGCTTTGATGAAAACATTCTCAGTTTCAAGAATAGTTTATTCTAAAGCATAAGAAGAGATTTAATTAGAAGTTGAATTTTTCGCTATTTCTCTTTTGCTTTTTACATTCAGTTCAGACATTTTATTTGCCGGAAAGTAAGCCTTAGAAATTAAAAGGATGTTTGATCAATTCACACTCGCTCTGGTATACTGACTGTATATTTCAACTGTAAGTACTTTCCTTAATATACGCGTGAGTTACTAGAGTGCCCTCCTGCAGCGGCAATAACTTATTATTAACCTTGTCCGTTCAGTTATTACAGGACAATCTCAGACCTTGGACTTGATTTATTGACCTCGCGATTTTGCTATCGCTCAGTCAATACTGGTATTTCAGGCTACAAGAATTAAGGCTCTTTAACCCTTTAGGTCCCAAGAGCGACCAACATCAATTTTCTCCTAACAACAGCAGATCATCAAAAGTAAACATTATGAGAATTACTCAATTGATTAACAAGGGAAATCTTTTACCAAGTTCTCTCAACTATTCTTAAAAGAAATGTATGGAGATAAGTCTGGAGAATTTGTATTCAGATATTGGGGCGTAAAGGGTTATAAGATCAATTTTTGCTGTATTCGTAAAATGCTGACACTGTATGTTATTGTCAAACAGGTGGAATTGCTGGTGGGCTGGAAATCTGCTGTACCTTTCCCACTGAATATGTTAAAACACAAATACAGCTTGATGAGCG